CCCTCCCCACCTATCGTGCAGGGGCTCTGGGCTCTGCTCCCCTGCGCTCGCCCTGCGGCGGGCGGATGGAGACCCCTCCTCGTGCCCCGGCCCGTGACGGGAGCCGTTCCAGGGCAGGTTCCAATGGGAAGCGGGCACCCGGCTTCCCTGAAAATCTGTCCTTACTTCAAAGAGACCAAGAGCAGCAGAAAGGAAAGTGAGGAAGAAGAAGGTTCTGGCTGCACATAAAAACGCTGAAGGAGGGGAGAGAAAACCATCCACAAAACCAGCAGCTGCTGTTTGCAACGAGAGGCTCCCCGAAGCGCAGTATCTGCTCTCACACACAGACAGCCCTGGAAGCCCAGGGTGCCTCGTTCCTCAAATAAACCATCCCCATCTGCAGGGCATCCAAGGCAGGGCAGGAACGAGCCCCAGCTGGGACAGCTGCTGCTTCCCTTGCCCAGGGCGCAGCAGAGCTGGAAGGAGAAGTGGGAACAGGGCAGGCAGCAGCCAGGGCCTCCCCGGGAGCAGCCTGGACTCCTCGTGGTTAAAGAGCCCCAGCCTCTGCCTGCAGCTCCAGCCTCCTACCCTGACTCTTTGCATCCCCATGCAACAACTTCCATTGCAGCCCAACATCCCCTACCGCCTAAACCACTGTCTGCAAAGCCCAGCTTTATTTGCACCTTACTTAATGCTTTTCTTGACCCACCCTTTTCTCCAACAAGACCCATCACTTGTACTTACTTATAGTAGATACCAAATCTTGAAACCTTTCCTTAGGAACGAGTGGGTTTTCCAGTCCTCGAAAATAGAGCTTCAAGACTCCGGCCACTGAGTTAATGTCACGTTCGTTTTGATCATCAGCAAGGGGATCTTCACCTGCCCAGAAAGAGGTTTGTTTCCAGCATCACTGCCAAGTCAGACGCATACAGGGAGTCCGTCCCCAACCTCATGGTGTAAAACCAGCATCTTCCACAGCTCGGAAAGCCTCCCCCGTGCAGAACGGCAATGCTGTGCATTTTCCTGGCAGGAGAGCCGTTCAATAAGGTGCTCTGCCACACAGCATCATGCTGAGACCATGGGCACACAGCTTATTATGGAGATTTTAAACCTGTCCTGAGGATGAAGACGTCATTAATCCCCTCTTCACAGAAATAACCTTCCCACCTTTCCTACCACTCACTCACTGTCCTGAGAATTGGTAAAAGCTCCTTGAGAATGGATTGCAGACTACTGGATGGCTCTCATAGCTGAGGCTTTCATGCTGGCAATTAGTGGTTGCAGAACAGATCTCTGTATCTATCACTCTTGGGGTATTCTTTCCTTAAGTGACTGTTCTTGGCTGTTGCTGAGGGCACAACACTAGGATACCAGAAGTGGAGAAAACCTCCTAGTTCCTCCTCACGGATAGGGCTGGCATGGAATACCCAAAGAGCTAATGAACCCAACCAGCAGCCCGCACACACCACGAGTCCAGCAAGAACCTCTGCTCCCCGCGAGCAGGGGGAGCGGGTCAGGAACCGCCGCGCGCGGCCACGCACCTCTCTCAAACGAGTTCTTGATGTCATTGACTTCCACCTGGGAGCCAGGAACTCTAAAAATACCCTGTTGCTGAAGGCCTGGAAAAGAGCACATGTTTGTTTGTTTGCTTGTTTGTTTAAAGATTTGAAAAACGGTGATGGAAATAACTTCAAACCTTAATAAGTCAACAGCTCAGTTTTACGGAAATCTGAAGAGATTCTGGGTGTGACTTTTGGGCAGAGAACAGTGGGAACTGTAAGTAGCTGCACCTCAACCTAAAGGCTCAGAGAACCAATTGCTCGTGCTCCACAGAGCTGTGCTTCATGAGCAGTTAGGTGCTCAGACAGCAGTTAGTTATGGATCAAAGCCCTATCCTGATTTTCCACACTGCCCAGTGCACGAGTACAGGAATGCACCCCAGGGCTCCTGCAAAGTGTCCCAAACACCGGATTTCTGCAGCAGAGCAGAAGGCACTGGATGGGGTGCCACAAGCTGCAGGGCTCTAGGCAGCTGCTGGTTATAGGCACCGGTAGGTCCTGTGCAGACGGGACTATAGGCACCGGCAGGTCCTATCGGATGGGGCCTCTCTCCTTCTCCTGCGGTGCCGGGCCGCGCCGCTCCCGCCGCTGCCCGCGCGCCGTCCCCTCCGCAGGGAGTCTGTGCCGGCGGCGCCCCACTCACCGTACAAATTGATGTAGCGAATGCAGCTTTCCACCACGAGCGGGATGGCCTGGCCTGAGTCCTTCAGGAAAGAGAAAAAGACAGTGAGATCTTCCCGGTTCCTGAGGACAACACACTGCAAACACACAACAGGTTGCAAACACCCGGAGCGGAAAGGCAAAGGCTTTGAGCGGAGCGAGAGGACAGGCAGGAGAGGAGGCGCTACGCAGAGGCGCTGCGGGGCTGCCCGCGCCACCCGCGTCGTTAGTCGTTAGTGGTGCT